CAGGGAGATCCAACCAGACCTTTGTCTCCTCAGTTTTCCAGCTCCTCCCCATACAAGCACATACAGGGTTATACCATTGGCCAGAAAAATACTTGCAAGTTCACTGGTCAATAGCTTTCCTTGGGAGGCTAAGGAAACATCCTACGAGCACTTTTCTATCCTCTTCCTTGATAATGCAAATTGCCTAAAAATGCCTACTCTATCCTCGGTCCAAATTATCATTCACTCCGAACAACTGGGAATTGAACTTTGCGTAATATGCTCCCACAAAATGTAATGTTTTGCTTCTCAGGGTAATGAGAACAAGAATGTGATGGAATTTAAAGGAAGGAAACGGTGAGGAACAGCTGTTGACCAAATGAGCAAGGGTAGTGATGATATGAGAACAATAATGACAGTATTACCTTGTATTTTAAAAGCACCTTTCTCCAAAAGGTTCACAGTGCTGTAGATTTTATCTCTTTTCCTTGGTGATTGAAAAATAAAATTAGATGCATTCTTATTAACATGCTATCCACAAATATTTGGGCTGTTTCTGTTTGCTGTGTCTATAACTGCAATTAATTTCTTCATTGGGCAGTATCGGGAAATTGCATTACATTCTCAGTTTCTTCAGTTGTATGGGGTGCTGTTTTCTGTAACATCGGTTAGCTTTTCCATTCTTTTGCCATGTTTGTGGCTGTGTGTACTTGTCTGAGTCCAGGTTAGCGTGTTCATCTCGCCCTTTCAATCATCAGAACTTGCCTACAAACTCTGTTCCTTTTACCACCATCAAACTGGACCCTCCTGCTATCATAACATCTGTGATTCTTCCTTATGTGACTATTTTAATGAAAGGCATTCCATCTACATGGCTATGTTGTCTTTTTTTAAATTTCTTGACAATAGGTGCACATCAACCTAATTTTATTCTTCATTCTCCATAATGTAACTTAAGTCACATCTTCTCTCCCACCTCCCTAAACTTGACAGTGTCATGTGACCAACAGTTCCATCATAGGTTTCTCCCCAGATAGTTCTATATATTATTTTTGGACATCTCCTTAAGTCCTCCTTTTTTTACATAACAGAAAACTTTCTCTAAAAACTCATTTTACTCTAATGTGGTTTTGTCTGATGCATACTAGTTGGAATCAAAGATCTTAGAAGTTAATCTATCGTTCTACATTCAGGAAGACACATATTATTCTCACTGAACAGGTGGCACCACCTAAGTCCAGAGAAGAGACTTGTTTATGGCCACATCTCTACTAAGTAAAAGAGCAGAAGCTGGGCAGCCTGGGTGGCTCAGCGGTTTAGCGCTGCCTTCAGCCCAGGGTGTGATTCTGGAGTCCTGGGATTGAGTCCCACATCGGGCTCCCTGCATGGAGCCTGCTTCTCCCTCTGCCTGTGTCTCTGTCTCTGTCTCTCTCTCTCTCTCTGTGTCTCATAAATAAAACCTTTTAAAGAAATTTTTTAAAAAAGGAAAGCAGAAGCTGGATGCCCACTCTCCAGTTGAGGAGCAGTGGGCAATTGGAAAAGGCAACTGGTGCTAGAGAAGGGAAGTCTCTGAATCAGTAAATTAATCAACTGGTACGTGGGTGGAAAAATTACCAGTGCTTGGACTCAAATCTGTAACACTTAAGGAATATTAATAGCAACCACTGAAAAGCTATGTAGGAATGAAGATTATGGAAGAATGGGATTGTGCTCAACAACTGATGCTCCAAACATCTGATGTTCTGATCATCTATTACTGCACAACGCCGCTAAACTTAGGGGCTTTTTTTTTTAAAGACTTTATTTATTTATTCATGAGAGGGATCCCTGGGTGGCACAGAGGTTTGGCGCCTACCTTTGGCCCAGGGCGCGATCCTGGAGACCCGGGATCGAATCCCACATCGGGCTCCCGGTACATGGAGCCTGCTTCTCCCTCTGCCTGTGTCTCTACCTCTCTCTCTCTCTCTCTCTCTCTGTGACTATCATAAATTAAAAAAATAAAAAAATAAAAATAAATAAATAAAATAAAATAAAAATAAATATTTATTCATGAGAGACACAGAGAAAGAAGCAGAGACACAGGCAGAGGGAGAAGCAGGCTCCCTGCAGGGAGTCCTTGATCCAGGACCCCAGGATCACGCCCTGAACCAAAGGCAGACACTCAGCCACTGATCCACCCAGACATCCCAAAATTTAGGGGTTTAAAACAGTATTTTGCTCACAAATCTGCAATCCAGGCAGAGTTCTGCAAGGACAGCTCATCTCTGCTCTCTCCATGTTAGCAGGGATTGCTCACAGCCTGAGAGCTTGAATCATCTGAAGGCTCACTCAACTGAGACATCTGGAGGAGAGAATATGGGGCTGCTGGGGCTCCTAAGGCATGACCCTCTATCTCCACGTGACCTTTCCATATGGACCTTTCAGCATGGCAGCTGCAGGATAGCCAAACTTCTTACATAGCAGCTCACTGCTCCCAAGGGACGTAGCTCAAGAGAGTTAGGTGGAAGCTGCACCACCTTTTATGACTTAACTCCAGGAATTATATAAAATCACTTCTGCTACATTCTCCTGATCAAGGCGATTACAAAGTGCTATTGAAAACCAACCTCTGGGATCCCTGGGTGGCTCAGCGGTTTAGCTCCTGCCTGCGGCCCAGGGCATGATCTTGGACACCCGGGATCGAGTCCCAGACCAGGCTCCCTGCATGGAGCCTCTCTCCTCTCTCTCTCTCTCTGTCTCTCTCATGAATAAATAAATAAAATCTTAAAAAAAAAAGAAAAAGAAAACCAAGCCTCTGTGTTCTCCAGACAAAGTATGTAACACGAAGACAGAGTCTGGGCATAAAGAAGGAAGATAGTTTATTACTTTGCCAGGCAAAGGAGGCAGGCTAATGCCTCCAGGACTGCCCACCCACTCCCAGGAAAAGGCTGAGGAGTTTTATAAGAAAATACAGGATCTGGGGTGCCTGGATGGCTCTGTTGGTTAAGCATCTTCCTTTGGCTCAGGTCATGATCTCAGGGTCCTGGGATCGAGCTCTGCATCCAGCTCCCTGTTTCTCGGGGAGTCTGCTTCTCCCTCTTCCTCTGCCTGCTTATACTCTCTTGCTAGCTCTCTGTCAAATAAATAAATAAAATCCTTTTAAAAAAAGATAGATAGAAAAAGAAAATACACGATCTGGATGGTTTCAGCAGGAATCTGGTACTTGCTGCCGGCCGCGTTCCATTCTGTCTTCAAGCTGGTCTCGAGACTAGTGCTGGCACTGGCCATCCCAGTCCTGTTACTAAGTGTACATTGAGATCAACAAGATGTCAATATTGACACGGAACAAAGGATTGTACAGAAAAACAAGTGAAAGGGAGGAGGGGGCTTTGAGAATTAGGAAGAGAAAAATGTCTTCAGTTTGAAGTCAAGCCTTGCCGAGGCACTGGTGTGACCATCTTGATTTCCAGCCATCTTTACGCTTCTAAAGCTTCTATAGCAGTGTCGGGAGGTCTTCCCAGAGGCAACAACACAGACCACCCCCCTTGATGGAGGAGTGTCAGCATCATATTGCAAGAAGAGTCTGTGGGATGAGATCTACACCAGAGCAGCTGTCTTTGGAAAACACAATCTGCCACAAGTGTGAAAACCTTGGGATTACAAAACCACTGAAACACAGAATTGAAACGGTCCTTGAAAGGGCCATCCATTTGTCACCAAAAACTCACTCTGCAAGTTGAGCTCAAACGAAATGGTCCCTTTTGGAATCCCTCCTCGATGTCCCCCAGCTTCCACGGCCCTTTGTGACCGTGCCTATGCTACCACTCAGGATATTCTATTTTCAAAACATGACTGCAATCAGGCAGGTACTATCAACCTGTCAATTAGCCAAACTTCCTATTCAAATCACTGAGTATCGCATAGGAAACATCGCAAGAAGAGTCTGCAGACTGATGGGGAAGAGACACTTTAGGGAAGCCACATGTGGTACTTCGCACAGAAAACAGAGAAAGCACCCACAATTCTGAGAAAAAAACTGGTATCAGACAATATGCTAAGCATTTTACATATATTATCTCATTTAATCCTTGCAATGACTCTGTGAAAGAACCGTTAGGGCAGCCCGGGTGGCTCAGAGGTTCAGCGCCGCCTGCAGCCCAGGACGTGATCCTGGAGACCCGGGATCGAGTCCTACGTCGGGCTCCCGGCATGGAGCCTGCTTCTCTCTCTGCCTGTGTCTGTATCTCTCATGAATAAGTAAGTAAAATCTTTTTTAAAAAAACCGTTATTACTAATGCTTACCTGTCCCAGGCTTTCAATGAGCTCTGCAGGAGTTAGGATAGATAGAGAGATAGAGAGATAGAGAGATAGATAGATAGATAGATAGATAGATAGATAGATAGAGATAGAGAGATAGATACGCGCTTGTCCTACATTAAGGGGAGAAGGCCCAGCAGCACCGTCAAGGTCTAATCTGCAAAGTGAAGCAGCCGGGGTGGAAGCACAGCCTAGAGCGGTGCTCTGCAAGCTCACCGGCATCAGAATCACCAGGGGAGAGCCGGTCCCAAGGCCCCCAGATTGCTGACTAAGCGGGGCTGGGTGGGGCCTGAGAATCTGCATTTCTCGCGGGTTCGGGGCCCCGCTGCTGCTGGGCTGGAACCACGCTTTCAGAACCGCTAGCCTAAGGTGCTCAGACCCGCACACAGCTGCCACAGCAGAAGCCCCGGCGAGGACGCAGGGACCCGCAGGCCCACAAGAGCGGCGCACGGAGAAGAGGACCCACGAGGCGGAACTGGCCAGCTCTGCCGTCCGCTCCCCGCAGCCGCGGTGCCGAGGCGCCCCCTCCCGGCCGTCCCGGCTGCTGCCCGCCGTGCCCGCCTCCTCCCGCAGCCGGCCCAGGGGGCGGGGCCAACTCCCTGCGTGAGGCCGCGGGGTGATGGGGCCGCGGCGAGCCGAGTCCCCGCCCCCGCGCTGTGATTGGTCAACGCCGCCCGAGCGCGGTGACGTATGGAGGGGCGGAAACCTTGTGAGAAGAGCGCGGGAGCAGAGCAGTGGAGGGTCGGCACGTCCGGGAGGGCCCTGGAGGAGGTTGTTCCGCGGGCCGGTGCCGCTCCCAAAGCTGAGGCGCTTCCTCACCCTTCCCAGACTAGCCGCCTGCCCCTTGGAGTGCGCCTCTGCCGCCCTCGTGCCCAGGTGAGCATCCGAGCGGGACGTCTGGCGGCGTGTGCGTGCGTGTGTGTGTGTGTGTGTGTGTGTTGGGGGGAGGGCTGCCTGTGCCCGGGGCGCCCAGGCGGGAGAGGAGCTGGAGGAGTCCGCTCAGCTTCCCCGATACTCCGAGGACGTCTCCGGTCCCTATCACCTACCGCCTTAGCATCTGGGATGATCTCTGGTCTGGTGGTGCTGGGCCCTGTGCCTCCGGGTTGATGAGCTCTTGCAACGAGTGTAAGTGCCTGCTCAGCCCTGTGCTAAAGCCCGGGGAGTGCGCGGGTGATCAGGTCCTGGGACTTACAGTGCTGGAACAAAGCAGATGCTGATGCGTATTTGAACTGAAGTGAACGCGGTCCCTAAGGAAAGCACTTCCACCAGGAAGGCAGTTACTATGTGGTGTGACAGACGCTCAGTTCCAGGCATATGTGGAATTACTTTTAAGAGGTGACCTCTTGGAGAAACTGATCCCTGACCTAAGGTTTGAAGGAAGAGTTGAAAAGAATCAAAGCCTGTGAACTGACTGGCGCTACTGCCAGTGAGCCTCTGCAACGCCAATTTTGGATACACAGTTGCCTGTTCCTGCAAACAAATAGAAACTACACTGCAAGGTATTGGTTCTTATTTTCATTAGGTACCTGGTTTCAGAGAAGATGACAGAGGAACTGGACCACACAGGACAGGGCTCTGAGGCAGATAGTGAAGAGGTGGTCCTAACTCCTGCAGAGCTCATTGAGAAGCTGGAGCAGGTAAGCATTGATAATAGCAGTTATTTCACAGAGCCGTTCTGAGGATTAAATGAGATAATATATGTGAAATGCTTAGCATATTGTTTGACACATGATGAGTACTCCGCTGTGAGTAGTGATAGTCCATACAACTACCCACCCAGTGAGGCAACTATTACTCCCTAATATGAACCAAGTCTCTTTGACTCCAGAATATGTGCTCTTAATCTACTACACCTGTTGTCTTCTCTCTTTAACAGTCCCTTCCTGGAATTATTTTAATATTCTTGACTATTTTCTACCATGTGTTGTAATCATGAATGACAAAAGGAAGAATCCTTACTGTATAAGAGTAATCCCTCATTTATTTTTATATCACAGACCTTTCTGAAAATCTGGTGAAAACTGGCCCTGTTTCGCAGAATAATATACGGATACACACACATCCAGAAATTATGCATATAATTTCAGGAGATTCACAGACACCTTTAAAATCTGCCCGCCTCAGTGTAAGAGCCCCTGCCTTATTATTAAAGGATTCGTGAAACAAAAATCCAAAAACACAAAGTTCTACGGTAAAATTGAGAACTTTTGTTTTTACACTTTCATGACAATAAAAAGACATGCTGCAAAACAGGGAGAAAATATGTGCAGTATTAGTATCCACAGTATATAAACAAACTTCACAAACTATCCAATAGAAAAAAATGAAGGCATCTTTCATTTTTTTTAAAGATTTTATTTATTTATTCATGAGAGACACAGAGAGAGAGAGGCAGAGACACAGGCAGAGGGAGAAGCAGGCTCCATGCAGGGAGCCCAAAGTGGGACTCGATCTCAGGTCTCCAGGATCAGGCCCTGGGCTGAAGGCAGCGCTAAACCACTGAGCCACCCGGGCTGCCCCTGAAGGCATCTTTCAGAAGTGGAAACCAAGGTGGTCAGTAGTCATATGGAAAAGATGTTTGATCTTTTTAGTAATCAGTAACATAAAAATTTAAATCCTTAGGAGATGCCACTTCATACCCATCAGATTAGAAATGAAGAAGATGAACAATATAATGCAGCATGTAAATAAAACAGTATAAAGGTTTGTGGAGTATTTGCATACTTGTTTATTGTGGTGAATTGGTGCACTTTGGAAAATAACTTGTTATTGTCTTGTCAAGTTGAAGGCACACATATCTTGTGTCCCAGTCATTCTACTCCCAGGTACTTACCCTAGAGAAAACTTCCAGGAGACATCACAAACTGTTCATAGTATTGCTTGCAATAATTAAAAAGTGAAAATAACCTAAATATCCATCAACAATAGAATGAATAAAAGTTATCTATATGCACAGTGGGAGAAAAAAAGCAGCAATAAAATAAGTGAAAGATAGCTCCTGCAACAACATGGTTGACTCAATAACATAGTGTGGAACAATAAAAAATAAGTTTTTGAAGAAACCATTTTAGTTAAGCTCAGACACTTGCAAAATTGTTCGAGGCAGAGTTCATGGCACATACTGGTATGCTATACTGTATCACAGTGTTGACCATCTACCCTCTGGGACAGCCAGAGCCCCCAGGCTGGTTCCTTCTTGTGGGTACGAGGGGCTCCTTGGATGGCAGCACAGCCTCAGCTTAGCAGTGGGTGAGCATGAGTTACATCTCTGGCCCAAAGCTCCATTGCAGTGCCCTGAGTGCAGCCAAAGAGTTGGTCCACCACCTGGACAGCTGCTGTAGCTGGACACAGACTTGTAGGCTGCATAGCATGGCCTACAGAGAAACCTCACCAGGCCACTGAAAAACACAGCTCCAGGAACATATATAGGATACTCATGAATGCCTGTTGGGAAAAAAAAAAAAAAAAAAAGATTTAAAAGTTATTACAGTGCAAAGTTTCTCATTTTAATGATTGTATTAATTTGCTAAGGCTGTAAGACAAAGCATCACAGACTGGGTAGATTAAACAACAGACGTGTATTTTCTCAATGCTGGAGGCCAGGAGTCTGAAATCAAGGTGCTGGCACCAGAGATTTCTTCCCAGGCTTCTCTCCTGGGCTTATAGATGGCCATCTTCTCCATATGTCTTCACATGGTCTTCCATATGTGTCTGTGTTCAAATTTCCTCCTCTTAGATTCTCTTAGTCACAGAATTAAAGCCCACCTAATTCATTTTAACTTCATCACCTCTTTAAAGACCCTGTTTCCAAATGCAGGCACATTCTGAGATGTTAGGAGTTAGGACTTAAACACATGAATTGAGAGTGGAGAGGAACACAGTTTAGCCCATAATGAACAGATTGTCATTAAAATTTTGATCAGGAATCAAATGTAGCTATTTCAAACATAGAACCTGATTATTTAAAAAAAGACCATGGATTTAAATGCAAGTTTCTCACTAAATATTTTGAAATCATTTTATTTGACAATTTTATACTAATATAACATTTCTGTTAATGTTTTAAATATTTTTATCAAAAATAATTTCTTAATGTCAGTAAGAAATCCCCTTCAAATCTACCCCCGTTTTACCCCTATTGTACCCAACAAGTGTTATCATTTTCCTTGAAATCATTGGGAATCATTATGTAGAGATACAAACAAATGTAGTGAAACTACAGAAAATTAAATACTAAGGTCAGGCTAATGATTACCTTTGAAGAGGGAGGAAGACACAGGGACTTTTAAAATAATAATACTTGTTAATGAAGTTATGTGCACACAGGTGTTTATATCTCTATTCATGTTATATTTCATAATTTCCGTACCAATGCAGTATTTAATAAAATCAGTTAAAAAGAAAATCTCCTGCTTTTATAAGTCCTCTGTGACAATTCGGTCTTTTCTCATTCATAATGTTCCTTGAAAATACAGACTCTTTCTGGTTAACTTTTATAGCACTATTACAGGAGCTTGAGCATGTGAAAAAAAAAAAATTTGTATGGTAGCAGGAGTACCCAGTGTTTAGTAAAGTGTCTTCATGATGAGAATTGGATATGCAGAAAGAAAGAATAAAGTGAGTCTGATTAGCATATAATTCTGAACTATGCTGAAACTAAATTTCCTGTAATTGAAAGATAGGATTAGTTTTCCTCAATCACCTGTGGATATTTCAGTTCTCTAAGCCATGGTAATTGCTGAAATGTACCAAACATCTGAGGCAGAGTCATAAACTAAGGATTTAACCTTTTGTTCCAAAATTGGTTAATAGATGAATATCCTTTTATATTGTGATCCTTTGTACTCTTAGGTGGTTAGTAAATAACGTGTTTTCTCATTAATAATTAAGATAAGGATAACTATCCATTTCCTCTCAGATATTATAATGATGAATGAAAGAATTTTTGTAAAGTGCTCTAAGCTTCCCCAATGAAATGTGTAGAGTTAGGTCACCTGGTCCCTCAAAATAGAAGGATGCTGGCTGGCACCCCCTGGTGGGAAGTAGCGCAGGAAGGAGGAGGAAAGTGTTGATGCTATTTGGTTAAAGGTACTGTTTGAACACCAGATGGTGTTGCTCTTACTGGTGGGCATCATACCGACATTTTTTTTTTTAAATAAATGATATTAGGGAACTTCAGAGGCAAACTGACATTTTTGACATGAACAGTGATTTTTTGCAACGTTGGTTAGATATAAGATTGTAAGCACAGCCTTCCCACTAAAATAAATAGAAAAGCCATCAAAAACATAGCTTGTTTACAAAGCATTTCGATTACGTCCAATTCATAGGCAGACAGTTGTCTTTGCCAGAAATAGCTGTGAGACTCACATGGTTATTTTGCTCCATTGTGAGTGATACTGATATGTATATTTGGCGGCGGGGGCATTGTTTTTTAGGCCTGGATGAATGAAAAGTTTGCCCCTGAGCTGCTGGAAAGCAAGTCTGAAATTGTAGAATGCGTCATGGAACAGCTCGATCACATGGTAAGAGTTGCTTATCTCAGAGTTACAAAGAGAACTTTAAAAGGGTTTGTCAGCATAGCGAGAGATTGAAGTCTGATGCTAAATCTGTCTTATTTGGCCCAGCCTAATGGGTTTTTCTAATATTGAATTAGTTACCTACATTTATAAAGCACAAACGTTCTTGTGAATATCTGGATGTCAGCTTCCCCTGAAAAGTCTAAAACCATGTCAATACTGGGCCCACGTTTACGTATGAGAACAGCTGACCAGAGCAGGGTCAGGGCCACCTGCTTTCATATGCTGTCCATTCCCCATGGTCCTTGCCTACCCACCCTTCTCAGATCACTTGCCTGCCTGGCCTCCAGAAACACTTGGCTTATATGAGCGGGTCTTAAGGCATTATCAGCTTCAGACTAGCTTTAAAGCATTGGTATTTTGCAGTCTCAACTGGTGATTTAACACTGCCTTTAGACATTTCTTTTGTCTGCTATATTATCTCCTTTACAATTGGGTTGGAGTGCTAGGCCTTTCTCACTGACCATATTCAGATTCTATTCAGATGATTGTTTTCTAAAAGTAAATGAGTATTGTTTGAGCTTTTTATGAGACTGTAGTCTTATATTATTTGTGTAAGAAAATCAGAACTCTTAGGAGTTGTTTGGTTCTCCTTTGACCTAAATGTAGTCTTTGAGTCCTCAAACTTGCCAGTGATTATAGTCCCTATGCAGTTCTACAGATTAAATGAAAAAGGTTCTCAGTCTGAATATACTTCATTTTCTCTTTTAATAGGAAGAAAATCTCAGGAGAGCCAAGAAGGGGGATCTGAAAGTCAGTATCCATCGAATGGAGATGGAGAGGATCCGCTATGTCCTTAGCAGCTACTTGCGGTGTCGGCTTATGAAGGTTTGACATGGAGATATCTGTAGGCATTAAGGCAATGTGTTTGTAATATAGATGAGCATCCTGGGGAGAAGTTGGGCTGGAGCCTGCCTAGGAGAGTCCAGGGCATGAAGATGCCATGAAGCACAGTATTAGGGTAGCTAAAGAGTAAGGAGGGCAAGAGATAATTCTGGAGAAGCCTAGCTGGAACATGTGTTGCACATGTCTGGGGACACATTTGTAGTCTATTAATCTGCTTTGTGAAAGGTGCCCCCTGGAATTACAGCATGGCAGTGCTGTATGGCAGAATCCTTTGCATGGTTGACTAGGGAATACTGACCAGCAGAGAATTAGTTTCAGAAATTACTTTGTACCCATCATATAGCAGGTGTCAAATTGACCATGATGACTTAATATACAGCTATAGTTCTGAGGCTATCTAACTTACAAAAATGAAATCACAAAACATTCTTTCTCTGTATGATGTCTATTTTAACCTTGGGAAGTTCTTACCTCCTTGAAGCCTCTTCTCATTTGGTTCCACTAGTTCCCTTAGTTACTACAAAATGAATACATCCTTTCTCCTACATGAGAGTGCTCTCAGCCAAACATTTCAATTATGTATTTCCATTTACTCACTGGTTCTGGTTCTGACAAAGGTTCCAGTTCCTGGGTATCCTTAAATCATACCACCTACAACTGAGTATGATATTCCAGTTGTAGTTTGGTCACTTGTGAAAAATAGGAGGATTACTTCCATATTACACAGACACATCACACCATTCATTCTGCACTTGCCATGAAGTCTAACCTCTTTGAAGTTTCTGAGTTACTATTTTCCCATCCTGTGACTAGCCTGTATTTGAATGGTTTGATTTTTCAACCCCTAAGTATATCGCTTAGTACTTACCCCTCTTGTACTTTATCTTACTAAATTGGGTCATTTCCCTGTTCTCTGGATCCTGATCTTGTCATTTAATATATTAGCTATCTCAACATCCTATGTCTTCACTTTATGTCAAGTTTGGTAAGTATGTCGTTAAAGATCTTATCTGATTCATTAACAAGACTGGGCCAGCAATAGAGTATTCCACCAGAGACTTCCCTACAGGTTGACATCTGTGTGTTGAATCTGTGTTGTTTGTTACAATTGCTTCTTGCTCTCCCTTTCTATGCTGTCACAGCCCCAGCTTTACAGCTTGCCCCCAAGGATGTCATAACAATGGTGTCGTGTGTTTTGAAAAAATAGAGATGTAAAAAATATGCCTTTCCCCATCCTCAACTACCAGGGCACTCACTTTTTTTCTTCTTAAGTTGAATAAATCCTCTTTGTGTTAACCGCTGAATTTTCTTTGAGTTTACAAACCATCCCTTAAGTGATGTGTTCCAATATAATGCCACATACCAATGTGGAGGACACTAATCTGTATTTTAAGGTTCCCCCACCTTCTTTGTATTTTTGAAAATTGGGAAATTGGCCCATCTCCAGTATTTCTTACCTCATCTGAGCACGTGATTCTAAGATCATGAGACCACCTGTGTCTGCAGAGCACTAAGTGATGGAGGGCCACAGCCATTTACAGACTCTAGCACAGAAGGCCTTATGCGCTGAAACTCCGTATATGAGCATAATATAACTGATCCAAGGCAAGAGACTTAAACTCCTTTAAACAGATAAGTGCTCCTTTGTCCTGGCCTCAGATCCTCCTTCCCATTGTCATTTCTCTGCTTGCACTTCCCTCCACAGAGAAGCCTAACAGCACTGACTTGAGCAGTGGGCTAATCCATATGCAGTTCCTGACCATATATCTTTAACTTTTAGCTTTTTTGTTTTGTTTTGTTTTGTTTTGTGTTTTCCTAGTAGTTCTTACTATTTTTTTCCAAGCCTCCCCTCACTGTGGGCTTCGTCCTTGCTGGTTATATTCTTATAATTAAGAGTCACTCTTCCCTCTATTTGTGTCTTTCCAGTTTCTGTACATGGTTCGGCTCATAGAAGAACAACCAATGCAGTTGACTAGAAATGTTAGATGATATGCCCTTTTCTCCCTCATACATACCATTTATAGGTGTATATTCAGATTTTCTTTTATGAAAGCTTTTCATCCTTTTTAAATGGTCTTCCTTTTTATAGCTCTTATGTTTGCTCTGAATTCCTTGAAACCTGCCTTCTTGAAATCTTGAAAGTCTAGAAAAGGTCTTGACTATGAAGACTTGCCATTTTTGAAATCAATTCTAGTTTAACCTCAACCTATTTCAGAAAACTAGTATATTTGACTCTCAAATCCTGACACATTTACACGATGATTTTTATTTATCCTCAGATAGAGAAGTTTTTCCCTCATATCCTTGAAAAGGAGAAAACACCCCGTGAGGGGGAGCTGTCTAGTCTTTCTCCAGAGGAGCTGATCTTTGCCAAACAGTGAGTAAGCAGGATGCATAAAGATGGCTTTCTTTCCCTGGCTCATGAGTATGGGTGTTGGTGGTTGTCTCTGTGAAACTGATGGCTGGGCCACCGTCATGTGTCTGACAACCTGGTGGCTCCTGCCAGTTGTGTGGTCGCAGCAATTTGAATTCCTCTCTTTCAGATACATGGCTAACACAGAGGCCTACCTCAAGAATGTTGCCTTAAAGCATATGCCTCCTAATTTACAGGTGGTGGACCTCCTGAGGTCAGGTGAGCGGAGCACTCCTTTTCAGACATATCTTTGGGTGCCTTAGAATAAGGTCTTCCTCTTTACTCTCAAGCCTGAAAAAATAAGTATGTAGATGAGCAGAAAAGAGAGAGGAAGTGTTGTGGTTTGAAAACAAACAAAAAAAAAGTCATTGAGGCACCTGGGCGGTTCACTCCGTTAAGTGTCTGCCTTGGGGTCACGTCAATGGTCCTGGGATCAAGCCCCACGTTGGGCTCCCTGCTCAGCAGGGAGTTGACTTCTCCCTCTGCCCCCGCCCCAACTCCCTGCCACTCATGCTCTTTCTCTCTCAAATAAATAAAGTCTTTTTAAAAAAATCATTAAAAAAAAAATCATTAAGAGAAGATATAAGGGTAGCCTTTTCAGCATTATTTTTGTGGTCTTTAGGTTGAAATTCTTATGACTAGCATTAAAAATGCAGATTCATTCACATCTGCAGGCATTCATTCCTTCAGCTGGTATGTTCTGGCATCCACACTGGGCTATGCCCTTTTGAGCATTGAGGAGGCAAAGGTCTCTGTTCTCCAGGGGCTAGCATGCTTTTCCTCATGGATTCCAGCCCATGCAGGGACTGCCTACCTATCCAGAAGGGGTTAAATAGGAGGCTAAGAAACCTTCAGTGATTTTCAGTCACTTCCCAGCTTCCTAGAGGAAGGGTTCCCAATATTTTTATTGCCCAGGGCGCCTCACGGGAAAGGGGTTCAGGCTAAGCAGGAGGAGGAAGGGAAAGTGGGGGAGGGGGCACCGCCAAAGCCACCTTTGTGCTCACCTGGCAATGCCCCCTTACCACTCTGCTGAGCTGAGGAAAGGGAGTCCTGGATGGTAGTCACTCTCAATCTTGGATGGACCAGTGGGGGACCATTGACACACAGGTTAAAGTCCATGCCCCTCAGGCCTTCACAGCTTGCCGGATCCCAGCAGGATCTCATCAGGCAAAGTTGCCAGACCAAATCAAACAGTTCTGGGGACTGGTTTCCACCTTGTTCACAACCTAAATGTAATGTGCTGAGGCCACAAGTCCAGTACAACTGAGCCCTGGGAATTCATCTCCCACCTGGCCTGTGCTGGGGGCTGCACTGTGACCCCTGTGGCCAGTAGAAGCATTAGAACAGGACAGGTGGAGACATAGCTCCCCGGGTGTGTCAGTCAGCTCAGGCTGCTGTAATGAGGTACTGCAGAGCATACATTGATTTTTCTGGAGGCCAGAAGTCTGACCAGAGTGCTGGCAGGATTGGCTTCCTCTGGGGCCTCTCCTGTGGTTGCCCCTCTGCATGTGTACTTTTCTTTATAAGGACACCAGTCAGATTGGACCAGGCCCTACCCTAATAGTCTCATTTCAACTTAGTTACTTCCTTAAAGGCCCTATCTTCAAGTACATCTGCATTCTGAAGTACTGCAGGTGAGCACATCAACTTATGCATTGTGAGGAGGGGGACACAGTGCAGTCTACAACACCAGGGGCAAGGCAAGCCCCTAGCAGACTTGTGGAACTCTGAACTGGTCGTTTTGGTAAACCTGCCTGAGGGAAACAAAAGGCCTGGCCCTGGTCTGCCACTGTTGTCTACACCTTGGAAAAATAGGAATGAAGCAAGGACCGCGTCCCCCAAACATGGCCCAGTGCTAGTGCATCTGGCTGATTGAAGCAGCCATGGACATCAGGAATCTAAATTCCTGAAACTGAATCTAACTGGATTCTAGTTGATGCTGGTAGACACCTCCTAAAACATGTCACTTGTCTCAAATCCCTTCCAAGGACTGGTGCCAGGCCCCTGGAATTGGAAGATCGCAGAGGCCATCAACCTGCGCCAGTGAAATCAGTCTTGCTTAATTAGACCAGGTGCCCTGCATCCCCTTCAGGCCTCTGAAGCAATGTAGACCCCGCTGGCAGAATGGGGGAAGGCATGTTGAAATCTCAGCTGGGTTTCCTAAAATCAGTAACTGCCCAGCCAGGTCAGCAGATCCTGTGAAGTTGGAGTCTCTGTGGCAGGCCCCAAACCCTGAACCCCTTAGACCTTTGGAGCCTATTACCCTGAATTCCACCCCCTCCCCACCCCCAACCTGTGGATGAGGGAATAAAGGGCAATATGAATGAGCTAGGCTCTTAGAACTGAGAGTTATCCAGTAGCTTCTCAGAACCTATGGTTGATGGAGTCCTCTGGGTACACAGGGCTCCAAGAAATGAAGAGCTGTAGAGCAGCCCAGCTCTGGGCACCTCTTCACAAGCAGTGTTGGCTAGTGATAGAAGAGGAGCAGCCTCTCACCCTGGAATCAACCAGTGAAGGATCATTTACAGAGAAAACCTATATTCAGTTGTCTGACTCTCAAGACTATCCCCATGTGACCCAATCTTTCTCATGCTCTCCTACTACTGCTTTATATAAAAATATTTTCTCACTAGATTTATGCACTTTTGTCCTCCCAGAACGTCATGCATATTTCTGCTTGGCCCTTCCTGTTACTCCCTGGCTCACTCCCTCATTCAGTCTGCATTGACTTCTTTCTCCCCACTTCCCAGAGACTGTGCCACCAGTGTGACACTTTCTCAGATGTTGCGGTAGCCCCACAGAGTGACTACGGTCATGCTTGCTTGTATCTTACACAATGTGCACATTTTATGTACTCGGCATCCGTTGGATGAGCTGTTGCTGTGTGAGACCCTGAATAGGAAGTGTGCTGTTTCTATAAGGACCCAGATCTCTCCTCAAGTCACCCTCCCCACAAAATGCTGTCACATCAGGGGTCCCTTAGTGCTCAGTACAGTGAGCCCCAGCAACTTCCCCATGTTGATCTTGGCTAAGTATTTTCTGACTGCATTATCATCTTTCTAACAGTTCCCAAACCAGATCTGGATTCATACGTGTTTCTGAGAGTGAAAGAACGACAGGAAAACATACTGGTAGAACCAGAAACAGATGAGCAAAGGTGAGTGACTTGTGACCTTGATGGTGGGAAATGTTCATCCACTGGGGGCACCAGCTCAGCTCTGCATACATTTTTTCCTCCTTTTTCAGGGACTATGTGATTGACTTGGAAGAAGGCTCGCAGCACTTGATCCGATACAAAACCATTGCACCCCTGGTCGCTTCTGGAGCAGTTCAGCTGATTTAAAATAAAAAGATAGGGGGATCCCTGGGTGGCTCAGCAGTTTAGCGCCTGCCTTTGGCCCAGGGTGCAATCCTGTAGTGCCGGCATCGAGTCCCGCGTCAGGCTCCCGGCATGGAGCCTGTCTCTCCCTCTGCCTGTGTCTCTGCCTCTCTCTCTATGTCTATCATAAATAAATAAAATCTTTAAAAAAATAAAAAATAAAATAAAAATAATAAAATAAAAAGATAAATTCATACAGCACAGAACCTTAAAATGTTTAGGAACTTCTGACCACTTTGTGCCTAAGGACGACAGACTCTCAGCAGTGCAGTGAATCACTGGGGCGTTGAGAAGAGCTCCAGGCATGATTGCTAACTTGTCACCCATTCTGACTGCTGTGTTAGCCACAGTCGGCAGATGGAGCTATTGCTCTGTCGATCCCACATGCTGGGCAAGCCCTTGGAGACTCCCTTTGTGCCTTTTCACTTTGTGGTATTTCTTGAGCTAAGGAAAGTGAAGCAACCACAGTTCATAAAAAAGCATTGCTGCCTATGATGAAGGGACAGTAGTTAGCCCTGCCCTGAGAGTGACTGGACAGTCCTTTCACTTCCCTAATAAGAAATGCATAAATATGCATTAGAAAAACAGAAGATGAAATATTTTCTAGGTTATCTCCCTGGTTTGTGTGAACTAACCTGAGGTTCGTATTGGACTTTAAACCAATTTGCCCTGATTAACTGAGAATCACAACTAAACCAAGAAACCATTGCTGAGTTTCAGTTTTGTGCCAGAAGGACCCTCTGGCCAGTTCTCAGTTTGTAACCTAATGAAGTATGTGCTTCCTGCTGCTAACCTGCAACCTTCCCTGAATCCCAGGCAGCTTTGCCAACCCAGCCTCCAGACCATCTGGCCGTTCTTGGCCGGGGATCTGCTAACAGCAACATCACCTATCCTATCTTGTGACCTCAGTAGCAGCGTTTCTGTTTTTAGCTCTCCTTTCTCAGAGGAAGTGAATGAAATTAACATGGGCAGAGAGCATCACAGTGATAACTGGAGGAAGGATGTAGAGACAGTAAATGAATCATCTTCCTTTCCTGATAAAAAGGAATCTGCATTCCAGTCTTTCTTGCTAATGAGAGGGCAGCAGATTTTCACTTGTATTATTCAGGCTGTTAGAGTAATCAATATGGTTCTCCTGTCCAAGAGAAATCACTAAGTGAAAGCCAGGAGGGTTTTATTTGTTAATAAAAGCATTTTATATTTCATGCAGTGCTTTATTTTATCCACAGTGTTTTTAACCTCTTCAGCTACTTATAAAACAAATATGCATTGAGCATGTAGGGTGCCAGGCACAGTTCAAGACTGAGGCCCAACCCAGAATAAGACCATCACTGTCCCTATTCACATGGGATATGTGCTCTGCCGAGAATTGGAACAGGATGACTCACTGAAGAGTAACTAGATTGGGGGATTGAGAGGTTCTCACCTAACTCAGTGAATTTCGCCAAGATCTTGATACCAAGTAGCCAGACACACAGATCAAAAGGAAGGTTGTTCCAGACAGAGAAGACAGCTTATACAAAGGCCCTGAAGCAGAAACCAGCTCTGCCTGCAGTCATGAAACATAGTGGGCAAAACAAAGTGTTGCATGGTAGGGTCTGAGAGGCAGTCGGCCCAGATCATGTAGGGTTTGGTCCTCCTAACAGTCTTGAGAAGAGGGCAGGGCTAGGAGTAATAAGTGAGAAGTGGAGGTTTAGTGGGAAGTCTGCGACTAGAACCCACAACTCCCTCCTATTCACACATAACGTGATCTCCCTCCTGTTCTCCCCCCTTGTGAGCCTCCTGGAGAGGGATGTGAGTTATTATGCTGCTACCAGAACAGTGCCTCAAGAGCCTTGATAATGAACACTGACTTCCCAGAGATCTGTTAGGAGGCCGATTCTGATTCAGGAATACTGGGATGGGGCCCAGCAACCTATGTTTCTGAGGAGCTCCCAGGCTGTTCAGTTGCTCCTTACCCTGGAACCACTCTGTGAGTGGTGGAGCTTTACGTTGCCACCAGCTCCTGTTGTGTACATGCCAGCCCACACAGAAGAGTTAAAATTCTCTGCAAAGGTCACAGAGTGAATGCTCCATTTCCTGGGCCACCTCTTTAAAAGAAGACTAGATCAGTCATTTTAGGATAAAGGGGAAGTTCAATTTCAAAACCAAGTAGTAAAAGAAATGAAGTAGCTTAGTGTGACATTGACTTCAGCTCTTCCAGTTTGTGGTATTTTGTTCTATTGATAAAAACTCATTGTGGAAGCATGATGGATGTTTGTTATTTTCAAATAATTGCATCATATTTCATCATAAGCTTGTTGATAGCAAAATGGCTATTCCTGAGAAGCACTGCAGCTCTGTTTGGGTTTTTCCAGTCACAGCAATCATGATTCAGCTGTGACCTTACAACAAGGTCAGCTGTATTTATTCTGTGCTCAGGCTCTGGCAGACAATGTGACTTTAGTGTCATCCTCGTATGCATCAAACTTCTTTCTGTGATGTACAGGGGCCAACCATAGAGCTTTCAGAGCAAATTGTCAAGCAAACACATTAGATATCAATTCTTAATGTTCTTTAATTTTTCATGGGAAGCTAAAATTCCAAACATTTCAAATTCTTCAAGAATTGATTTTTTTATATACTGTGACAAAGTACACATAAAGTTAACCATCTTAAACATTTCTAAGTGTACCTTTCAGTGTATTAAAGACATTGACATTGTGCACCATCCATCTCCATAACTTCTCATCTTGTAAAACTGGAACTCTAGACCTACTTAACAGTCTCTCCCCTTTAACTGCCCCCCAAAGCTCCCGAAAACCACCATTCTCCTTCCATCTTTATGGTTTTGACTACTCTTAAGTACTTAATATAAGTAGAATCCGACAGTATTTCTCTTACTGCGACCAGCTTATTTCACTTATCATAGTATCCTTGAGGTTTGTCCATGTTGTACTATGTGTCAGGATTTCTTTCCTTTTTAAGGCAAAAAATATCCCATTGTATATGTATAGACCACATTTGTTTATTCATCCATCATTGAACATAGTTGCCTCCTTCAGCTATTAAGAAAAATACTATCAACGTGGATGTACAAATATCTCTTTGAGACCCTTCTTTCAATTCTGTATACCCATAAGTGGAATTGCCAGATCCTATGCTAATTCTGTTTAACATTTTAGAACTGTCTACTGTTATCCACAGCAACTGCACCATTTTACGTTCCCACCAACAGTGCAGAAGAGTACCAGTTTACAGTTTCTCTACATCCTCACACTATTTTCTACTTTTGTTTTATAATGGCCATTCAGATATGGGTGAGGTGGTATCTCCTAGTTTTGATTTGCATTTCCCTAATTATTGGTGATGTAGAGCATCTTTTCATGTGCTTTCTGACCATTCCTGTATTTTTTTTTTTTTGGAAAAATGTCTATTCAAGTTGTTTACCTTTTTTTTAATTGAGTTGTTGGGGTTTTTTGTTGTTGAGTTGTAGGAGTGCTCTATACATTCTAGATATGAACCCATTATCAGATATATAATTTGAAAACATTTTCTCCCATTCTGTGGGTTGCCTTTTTACTCTGTAAATAGTGTCTTTTGATGCATACAATTTTTACATTTTCATGAAGTCCAATTTATAAATTTTTTTTTCTTTTGTTACTTGTGCCTTTGGTGTCATAACCAACAAAATATCATGAAACCCAATATCATGAAGCCTTTGTTGTATGTTTTCTTCTCAGAGCTTTATTGTTTTAGGTCTTTCATTCAGCTCTTTGATTTATTTTGAGTTAATTTTTATATATGGTGTTAGGTAAGGGTTCAACCTTTTTTTTTTTTTTTTTTTTTTTTTTTTTTTTGCATGTGGATATCCAGTTTCTCCCCACCCCATTCCACACATACATCATTTGTTGAAAGGATTGTCCTTTTCCCATTGTATGGTCTTGGCAACCTAGCCATCACAATATTTTGAGTACTGTAACTTCACAGTAAGTTTATCATCAAGAAATGTGAATCCTTCCGTTTTGTTCCATTTCAAGACTGGTTTGGTTATTCAGGGTTTTCTTGAGATTAGATATAGGTTTTAGGATTTTTTTTTCTATTTTTGTAAAAAATGTTGACATCTTGATAGAGGTTGCACTGAATCGTTAGATCACTTTAGGTAGTATTGACATTTTAACAATATTGTCTTCTAGTCCATGAACATGGATTGTGTTTTCATTTACTTATGGTTTTACTTTCTTACAGCAATACTATGTAGTTTTCATTGTACAAAGCTTTCACCTCCTTGGTAATTCCTAAGTATTTTCTTCTTTCTGATGCTGTTGTAATTGGAACCATCTTTATAACTTCTCATTGTTTGTGTATAGAAATGGAACTGGTCTTTGAGTGTTTGACTTTGTATCTTGCTACTTCACTACATTTATGTATTAGTTCTAACAGCTCTCTTGTGAAGTCTAAAGTTTTCTATGTATAAGATTATATCATGTGAAAGCAGAGATAATTTGACTTCTTCCTTTCCAATTTGGCCACCTTTTCTTTCTTTTTCTTGCCCAATTCCTCTGACCAGAACTTCCGTACTTTGTTAAATACAAGTGGTAGGAGCAGGTGCCCTTGTCTAACTCCTGATCTTAGAGGAAAAGTTTTCAGCCTTTCACCATTGAGTATGGTGTTTGCTGTGGCTCTTATTATGTGGAGGTGGTTTACTTCTCTTCCTATTTTATTAAGTGGTTTTTATCGTGAAATGGTGTTGAATTTTGTCAGATGCTTTTTCTACAGGGATCCCTGGGTGGTGCAGCGGTTCAGCACCTGCCCTTGGTCCAGGGCACAATCCTGGAGACCCGGGATTGAATCCCACGTCGGGCTCCCGGTGCATGGGGCCTGCTTCTCCCTCTGCCTGCGTCTCTGCCTCTCTCTCTCTCTCTGTGTGACTATCATAAATAAATAAATAAACAAACAAACAAATAAATACTTTTTCTACATCAACTGAAATGATCTTGTGGGAGTTTTTTTCCTTCATTTTGTTGATGTGGCATATTAAATTAATCAAGTTTGTATGTTGACCCATCCTTGCATCCCAGGAATAAATCCCACTTGGGCATTGTGTATAATCCTTTTCTGCATTGGTGTTCATAAGGGGTATTGGTCTGTATTTTTCTTGTAGTGTCTTTGTCTGGCTTTGGTATCAGGGTTATACTGGCCTTTTTGAATGAGTAAGGAAGTGTTCTCTCCCTTTCCATATTTTGAAAAACTTTGATAAGGATTGGTATCACTTCTTTAATTGTTTGGTAGGATTCACCAGTGACGCCATCAAGTTCAGGGCTTTTCGGGGGTAGAACATTTTTTATTACATATTCAGTCACCTTACTAGTTATAAGTCTGTTCAGATTTTCCTTTTTTTTTTTTTGTGATTTAGTCTTGATAGGTTCTGTGTTTCTAAGTGCATATCCATTTCATCTGGGTTATCCAATTTTGATGTACAACTGTTTATGTGTTTTTTTATAATCCTTTTATTTCTCTAGAATCCGTAATAATGTCCCCACTTTTATTTATGATTTTAGTAATCTGAGTCTTCTTTTTTTTTTTTAAGTCTAGGCAAAGGTTTGTCAATTTTGTTTATTTTTTTTTTGAAGAACCAGCTTTTGGCTTTATTGATTTCCTCTGTTGTTTTTCTACTCTATATTTCATTTATCTCTTCTCCAATCCTAACTATTTCCTTCCTTTTACTAGTTTTGGGTTTAATTTGTTCTTCTTTTCCTAGTCTCCAAAGCTGTAAAGTTAGGTTGTTGATTTGAGATTTTTCTTATTTTTTAATATAAAACATGGCTATAAATTTTCCCATTAGCACTACTTGTGCTACATCTCACAAATTTTGGTATGTTGTGTTTTCATTTTCATTTGTATCTGTTCTCTAATTTCCTTTGTGATTTCTTTTTTGAGCCATTGGTTGTAAAAAAAAAAAAACTTACACAGTTTTATGACTTTTCAGCTTTTTAATGGATTTCTAACTTTATCCTATTGTGGTCAGATAAAATGCCTTGTATTATATCTATCTTTTTAAATCTATTGAGACTTCATTTGTGGCCTAAAATGTAGTCTATCCTGGAAAATGATCCATGTGCATTTGAAAGGGTGTATGCTGCTGTTGGGTAGAGTGTTCTCTATACGTCTGTTAATCCAGTTGCTTTATTGTGTTGTTTCAGTCTTCTGTTTCCTTACTTAACTT